AGCTTTTGTGGAGACTTGTCATCTTCTTCCATGTCTGTGGGACTCGTCACCTTGTAGGAAGAGTAGCTGTAATTGACACCCTTCCTCTACCTCTAACAGGAGCTTCTCAAAGGACAACCTTCTATAAGGTAGTCATAACACACCCTCATGTCAGTATAACAACTTCTTACGGGTTTACCCTACGTGGGATTCACTGTCAACAATCTCATTCAACTTGGCTTCAGCCTTTAATATTTACAAAAAATAGAAAATTAACAAAATATAGTGTGGCATCGGCCTTAACTATAGCACCACGGGATCGCCCTTTGTGGATTTTTACCAAAAACAACTTCTTTGAACAATGGCATCGGCCTTCACAATTTCAACAACTAAAAATCAACATCTATGTAGGATTACCCTTCGTGGGATTTACCTACTCAAAACACGGGATTACCTTTCGTGTGATTTACTGTTAACAACTTCTTCTAACCTTTGTAGGATTTACTTATTCACATCACAAAATTATCCTTCATGGGATTTACCGTTTACAACTTCTTCAAAATTCATCGTATAACCGGACTTACTGTAGATTCATGCTGACAACTGAGTTGGTTCGACTCTGAAATTATAGGCTGAGATAAGAAAACATACTGCACAAACTCCTCAATAAGCACCTGAACAATCTTCTTCGACATTACACTTCTCATTTTGGCACAAACCATAATCTGAATAACCGTTTCGCATAAAAAAAGAATCAAACCCATTAAAGAGAGAGAGATTCATTTCTGCAAGTCAATCTTTAGCCCAACAATGCAATGTGTGCATTTTAGAATGTGACCAACACTCTCTGTAAATCTTCAAATGCAGACTGCTTCAAGGCAAAAGAAAGATGGCTTCAAGCCAAAAGAAAGTGTGTTTGCTACTTTGTGTACAACTCTAAGCCAGACATAGCTACCGAATAAGAAAATTGTAGGCAGACTCCAAGTCAAAAGAAAAAAAAAACTGTATTGCTTCCATAACTAGTTTGATAATGGTGTAACGTCGTTCTTGAACCAGAACAACTTTGTGCCCAATCCTCTAATTGACATAAGCAAGAAATATGACACCATTTTGCTGAGAAAAACGCATGTTAATGAAATCTCAAAACATGAACCAAGAGAGAAAACGAGCAGCAAAACATCAAAGATGCAAAACCTAGAGAGAATAAAGAACTATCTTGTATGGAGCAATTAGTCGAAACCATTAACAACCACACAAAAAAACCTAGAAAAGATTCATTCTAATTGTTCAAGAATTTGGAGAAAAAGGACTGAAAACATAACCTTCACATGAAACTTTTGAGTTGGGCATTTCGACAAACACCTGGACTGCACCCATTGTTGTGTTCCTTTCAAGTGCAAATATAAGGATAGTATAATGGCACAAGTAAGGGTGTCGAACCACAGAGACTGATTAGAACTCTACAAATTACTAGCTTTATGAGAACTCTAACTACATAATGAAAATGCAAACTGAATTTAGACTTTTCAATTGAAAACTAAAATAACTTAAAAATGCAAGAAAGATAAAGATAAAGATAAATGATAGGCTGATTAAGAAACGATGGGAATGGAACTAGAGATACCGATTTCACCATTAGAAGTCAATTCCATGAAAATTAAGTCAAAACGTATTCAACTCTCCAATCTACAACTAGGGTTCATTTATTTATTTATGATCATCCATTTGATGTGTGGTTTTGATCAAGTACTCCTAATCTGCAACCTAGTTGTGATGTTCAACTTAGATTACCAAATAAGAATCCATTAAGAACAAGAAAACTTCCAAGAACCAAAGAAATCACATGACGGGATGTATGCATAGCAGTTTCTTCATTCATTCACATGTCCACCAAGATTAAGCATGATGTGTACTATAACCTTGATCAAATAATTCATAAGCAACCCTAATGGTGATCAAACATAAAGATTAACAAACAAATTATACCATAAAATCAATGAATGAAACAAGAACACAGATTGGTAGTTTGAATACTTTAACTTAATAACATAGAGTAGTTTTGCAAGGCTACATCGAAATCCCCAGCTATGAACTTAATTACACAACATGATTAGAGAATATATAAATATCAATAACAACATGAGTGAAATTAAAGTTCATAGAAGAAACCCCCTTGAAGCAATTCTGATGTTGAACTTCTCCAAGAACAGCGCGGCTACGTGGTTTCTTCGGTGGCTGCAGATGGTGAATGGAAATAGGGTTTTGTTTCTGGAAGAAAGGCCAAAGAAAGAGAAGAGAGAGAGCTCTGGGCGACCTCAAGGGGAAGCTTGTGTAAAAGTGGCTAAAACTCTCAGTTTTATAAGGTTAAAAAGGTTATTACAGATTGCCAATACATCCCAGTAATTAGGCATTTACCTCCCACATTTTTTTGTTGTTATTGGTCTTATAAAGAGTCATATTCATCACCATATTCAGTTTCCACTTTAATTCTTTGTCTACATCAGCATCCTTATTCAAATCTCCACTTTTAGCACCATTTTGCCTTATTTGTCCTCAACTGAGCTCCAAAATACGATTAGCTGCACACTAACACAAAAGAGGGTAAAATGCAACTCGTTTAACTCAAAAATATCACAAAGGGACTAAGGATGAATGGTATAAATGTATGAAATATATGAGTTATCACTTATGTCTGATTTTTCTTCCATACCAAAGAACAGAGTAGAGATCAAAGAATTCACTGACCCATTCTTTCAAATAGTTGGAATGCACATAATCATAACCTGAAGAGCTCCCAAGATTTGCAATCTTGAACAAACAACCACCAACTCCCGATTTCTTCCTCCTCTGTTTTTCTCTCTGGATCCGATTTCGTCCAAGTTTTTCCCGATTTCAGCCAATGGTGATCTTCGAATGGCCTCGTTGTTCGTACGTCGACCCAAGTCCAAAGCTCACATGTGATGTGACAAAAAACTTGATTCCAAATCCTCCAAATGGGCAAGAACTTTCTCTAATTTCCAATTCTCCAAACATTCCAAGAGTCACAGAAAATCAAACCCAAAGAGAGAGAGAGAAAGAGAGAGATTCATATCTTTAAGTAAATCTTCAGCAATAGTGATAACCGTGGTGATTGCCATCCCCAGTGAAGAGAGCTCAACCTCATTGTACTGCGTTATGTACCTCTTAGCAAGATTGACGTAGAAGAAGAGCGATTTCTTAGTGTTGGAGACCTAAATTATGTTCTTCGATAACTCAACTGATAACGGTGGTGGAGATATGACTCTCTGCATTTACTCTACCGCCATTTTTCTCTGAAATTTTCTCCAACTTTCGATCTCTCTCTTTTGATCGGGAACGGGGAAACTCATAAATTTGATCGGAAAGAAATCAACCCAGAAGTCAAAGAACAATCGCGAAAGCACCTAGAAACTTATCCTAACATCTAATGAAAATTTGGAAAGAAACTAAGTTAGAAACAGATGTAAAATAATGGAAAATGGAACCACCAGAATCCATGGCGTAAGCTTGGTGGCTCTGATACCATGTTAACTACATTGCAATATTTGGGAATTGAAGGGAAAATTAAGAAGAAATGATGAACACAAAGATATTAGAGAGAAAGAGTTTAGAGAGAGAAATAGGATTTGTATTGACTGACTAAATGAAGGTTACACACACTGTTTTTATAAGAGAAATCCTAACTACTCTCACCAAATACTAACAAACTTACTAACTGTATTGCTAACTGTATTACTGACTTGTACCCTTAATACCAAGAACTTCGTAGATGACAATCTACTTAAATACTTCCTTGATCTCAGCTACGAGAATATGAGTGAGATTCCATCCCTAATGGGTATTTCAAAGCACGAGCTGCACAATAAAGTGGTCGAGTTGGGACAACGCATCAATCAACTAATTGGCATCTAACCCTTCTAAAAATTTTTGGACTTTGCGCTTTTTACCAAAGGTAAACAACTTTTAGGGTTACATACAGTATTCTAAAAAGAGGGCTAGGCGACTCCTAGGCGCTAGGCGTTGGGCTGCCACGACCATTATTCCAAAAACGTTCAACAAATCAGCAAGGCGGCCTTGGTGGCGAACTAGGCAGTTCTGTTAAAAAGTATATATACATACCGTTGTTTCACAGCATCACCTAAAAGAAGAGGCGTTCACATAATATTGAAGAGAGAGAGCGAGAGAGTGAGAAAACATCATGGAAGAGAGAGCGATGCTAAATTAGAATAACAGATATGCAATTGCAGGGATAAACAAAAAATTGACTTGGATAGTTGGGATTTCTTCAACTAAGCATGCAATTTTCTTCGATGCGCTTGAGGTTTTGGGAAATTTTACAAAGGAAAAAGAAGATGGGCGAAGCAGGGAAATTTTGCAAAGGAAGAAGAAGATGGGCAGAGCAATCGAAGGCGAGGAAGAGGAAACAGAAAAGATAAAGGCCTTCGCGTTTTCCAAGGCCTCAATAACCCATCTCATCTTTTTGACCGGTGTCCACTACTTTCCACTATTAATTACCCACCTTTAGTCTCCAATTAATTACCCACTATCAACTTATAATTATAATAAAGTAAAATAAAAATAGTTACCCTTTCGACTAGTAAATATGTTGTATATTGGTAATGTTAGAGAGACTAAATCTTATCCATAAATTTCATACAAGTATAATTTTTTGTAAGTGTCAATATGCACTTATTTACAAGATATACAAGAAAATTACCTAAATTTGCCTTGACCCCTCCGCCTAGCCGCCTAGGCGCAAGACGCTAGCCCGTCGCCCGACTAGCGCCTAGCGTTTTTTAGAACCTTGGTTACATATGATGTTATTGAATTGAGTTCTATGTATTAAGGCTTTAACCTTTCATTGAGCTCTATTTTTTAAGGAAAACTAATGAAAATGGTTAAAAACTTTGAGTTTTAATGATAAGGACAAAATAAATGGTAAAGTGAATAATACCAGTATTGACTTTTTAGTGTAAAAATGTGGTTTTTCGTTAAAATGAACAGTAGGAGGAGCTTTTCGTTAAGATTCCTTATTTTTTAAGGCTTTAACCTACAATTGATACAAGTGTGCTTCAGTAGCAGTTGTCAATAAAACATGTCATATAAGTAATTAAAACATCAACAGGCCCTACCATTTTTGTAGGTGGTGCTATACAAGACCAACTTTTCCACATCCTTCTCAATTTTCGGCCATTGGATTGAATAAATTGGAAATGAGCAGAGAACAAGAATTAACGAGTGTATGAAACGTAAACATAGGTGTGTGGATAGCACCACATTTTTTAATGATGGCATCTCTAAGACATGGAAAATTACGAGGGAAAAGAAAACCTTGGAAAGAGTTGCCGTGACAACGTGAATCTTACGGCCTGCTGCTGCTGGGAGAACCCATTCTTGATTTAGCTCCCCAAATGAACTGACGAGTCTTACAGAACGTTCAGTGAGCTGAAATGTTATTTAATCAACCAGCATGAACTTAGAATCCAAATGAATCATTATAACCAGAAAGTATTGAATTCAGGACTAAACGATCTAACAGTTTAACACTGAACCCATTTCTAACGCAACATACCCCAAATCGACCAGACTAGCTGGTTCATCATAACTACCATGTAAGGGCCTAGACATGTCAAATTGAAATTTAAATTAGAAAGCGAGGATAAATTCGATAACTTACTTGCACAACTTGATCCGCAATAGCATTATGGCAAAGGAAATCTCTTCAGAACCCAAGCTCTTATCTTATATTCTTCTAAGTTACCTTGAGAATCTATTTCAAAAACTTGTGCTGTCCTATGTAGCAGCTTACAACCAGGACTGTGTCATACGGATCGATTGTGACATAGGACCACATCCCTACAATGTCTCCCAACCCACGATACGAAGCCTAGCCAGAGGCATATGATAAAGAACAAGTAATTTGTATCAGTGTGGGAACAAAATGCAGATGTTCAAAAGAAATTAAATGCTAAAATAAGACAAACCAGTTCTTTTACTTCAATTTGATCTCGAACCAGGCGTAAAGAACTATCCTTTTGAGCTCCTGAGCAAGTTACAACCCGAGATCGACCTTCCATCCCAACATAACGACACAGATTGGCATAGGTTTTTACAATTGTTATACATACAGCAATTGCATCCGTCCTTTGATGTAGCTCTACAAGCTGTGTTTGCATAACAATGGGACGTCAACATCTATTACTGCAAATTAACTTTTAATACCAAAAAAAAATTAGAATCAATGTGCTTAATTCAGTTAAAACCTCATAAATAATGGAAATAAAAACATACAAGTATGAATGTAATACCTGTGAGCCCCCAGAACTTGATCCCACATAGACAAGTCCACTGTCTAGGCATGAAATTGAAGATGCAGCAGATATCTCCCCCAAAGGCTCAGTATGGAGTCCACTACATCATACGAAAGTGAATCTTTGAGATGATCAAAGCATCAAACAAGATCCACAACACAATAATTTTTTTTTTTTTCTACTCACGTTTCATTTTCATGCTCTAATCTTACGCGTATGAGTTGGCCACATGTGGTACCAATCATGTACGCATATCCATCTCCATTCACTTTTTGCAAACGCCGTCCCATAATACTATAATTAAATGAAATACATAATTAACTAATTCTAACATGAATTTCTAATTCAAACCAATATTTGTAACTTACAGGTATCTGGTTTTCTGTATGATCTCTGGTTCGACGACAGTAAAGGATTTTGCTTTGTCCCTAAACAATAACTCCATAAAGTGGCCCAGACACTGGAATCAGAAACTGAGCTCCGTCAAGCTTATTCCAGGACCAAAGAGTGTTAGAAAATTTGTTCTCATCCTGAGTAAACTCGTATGTTCTGAACTTGATACCATCGCGCATCATTGTTGCTATCACCATTACAGTCCTGCATTAATCAATTAGAATGCTATGAAAATCAAGGACTTTATCCAGAAATAACTCAAACACCAAACGGAACAAATAATTAATTATTTCCCTAATCAATTATTTCAAATATAAGTTAAAAGCATATCATTACAACAAACCTAATAATGTTTAAAAAAAGGCGAAAAACTCTCTTAATCATATACCCAACTATGAAATTGAAACAATCTTAATTCTTAATAGCATTCAACCTAGAAAAACAATATTAAAAAGATTACAATTTTTAATAATTTTTTTTCTATTTTCCTTATTTTTTCTATTTTTTATAATTTTTTTAATGTTGGATTAATTATATCCGTTGATTATCAAATTGATTTGGAATCGGACGCACCAGATTGGGTCACGTGGCGCAATGTTAATAATTTTAAATTTTTGCCGTTGAAAAACCAATGGTTTACAATTCGCCATTTCAGCAAGCCGTTTGAGAGTTCTATTTTGTCTCCCACTCTCCTTGCCCAATGGCAATAGGCCAGGCTTAAGAAGGCTGGGCACTTGGGCTAGCAGTAGTTGGCCCACCACTTGCTTTTGGTTTATTGGACTATTGGAAAGGGTTTTTTGGGTTAGACGGCAACATTGTTGCCTTTGCCCCTCCCTGCCACCAACTAGTGAAGAAGCTCTAAAATTGGTTTGCAGCAGTACCTCAAAGAGAGACCTATGTACCTAAATTATGTATTTCAACAACTTGATGAAGTTTTGCACGAATCTAAACCCTTACACTATGTTTGGATGAGGGAAATAAATTTGAAATTTTGACAAAAGTCAGAATTTATAAATTGACCTGCACCAATTTCCTTATTTAGATTCATAGAAATAGAAATTTACAATTTCCTCGTGAAAAAAAAAAACTTAGAATTTGAGACCACCAATTTTCAAGTTTAAATTATATGGAAATAAGTGTCATTTCCAAATTTTTATGAGTGTGAGTTCAAAAATATCAAATTTCATACTCAAATTCCATTGTTTTTCAGGTTAACCACATAAGAAAATTTACAAATTCTAGAAATTAAAATTCTATCATTTTAAAATTCCTTAGTAATTTTAAATATTTTCATCCAAACAAAATGTTAAAAAACCTGAAAATTTTGTTGAATTTCAAATCTCAAAATTCAAAATTCAAACTTTCAAAATTTCAAAAGCATAATGATACAGTGTAGTGTGATCCATACAAACTTACACTATCAAGTGACTACTACTTTTGTGAATCAAATCCAAACACTTTCTCTAACTCATAAAGAACATGATGAACATGAAGAACACTCATAGGAAAACCCATAAGAGTCTCATGACATTTTAACTCATATTTTGACCATTTTAACACGTTTAACAAAACTACCAACTAAGTAGCTACCTTAGGGGTTCTTATGTCAACTTAATTCTCAATTAACAAGACAATAGGAGCCCAAATTTAAGCAGAAGAAGTGGAGAACCTTATATAGTTTGGAATTGCAATGCAATAGGGTTCTTTTGTATATCATTACTCTTGATCACATTGTTTAGTTAATAGTTTATTCATATTTGCAATCCAATGTGATTCTCTTGTCGATATGATTACTTTGAATGTGATTTGGAACGTATTTCCTAAATCGTATTCATATATTTTGGCGAGAGATTCTTACTCATATCATAGAGTATTCTCCGTCAACTGTTTGATTGTTAAATATCCCTTGTTGTACACTCATATACCTCCATGATTAGGTAGCTTAACCCCAACGATATCGTGGACACCCTCGCAATGAATGAATATAGCAAGATATATATATATATATATATATATATATATATATATATATATATAATTTGATAATGTAAAAGCAATGAACAAAATGTATCTAAAACTAACAATAAAATACAAAAGCTGATTACAAAATACAGTATATTTAGCAAATAACTTTAAAAAAAATAAAAAAAAAACATCTGGAATTTTTTATCGAAATAAGTTCAGAAAATTTCGAATCAGAAATTCAAAATTTTTGGAATTCTAAATTCTAATTTTCATTCCACCTTTTAGAAAAATTCCGATTCATAAATTTTCAGGTTTAGATTAAGAAAGTTTAATGTCGGAATCAGAAACACCATTCTGACTTGCACACTTAAATATATAGACAATGAGATTTTGCATACAAATTCTTTAGAGCACTTCAGTGTGTAAGAGCCCCTTTGGTAATAGGTAATTCAATTCCTTCAAGTAAATAATAACCATCTTTAATAACTCTCCCCTCAGGCACTCGAGCCTTAGACTTCCGCTTGACCTCTCCCAAGGGCTCCCTTCAGCCCAATTGCCCGACTGGGCTGGCATTACTGTAGGGGGCATTCGGCTTGCAATTGTTGCCCCCAGGTCTATTGCCCACAGTGGACTTGCTAGCAGATGTGATGGAAAGAAAGTGGGACAACCACATCCAAAATCACTATTAAAAGAAAAATATACGGACACAAAGTTTGTTGGAAGTTAGAAAATGTAACTTTGAAAAGGGTTGGAAAAAATTCTCGAAAATCCCAAACCAAACCAAAAAAATTCCGATTTCAAACCAAAATTCCTAAAATTTTCGGGATGAAATACCAAACTGATCCTGAAATTTCGATACAAGATTCGGTATTGTCTACTCAATCTTTCGGTAATCCCATATTGAACCGAAAATAAATAATATATATATATATATATATATATATATTATATACATTTGAATTGTTGCTAAGTACTAGTAGCAATATAATTGGTGTGGTCTACAAATAGTAATCATAACCCTTTATGGCCACATCTGCCGGTACGAACCTTCCACAAATGTGTCTATTTCTTCAACACGAAATCAAAAAATTGTATTGTTAGTTTTCAAACATATTAGGTTTGTTACTTATTTTATTTTGGTTGCATGTTAATTTAACTTGGTATGAATGATTGTTATTTCAATTTGTATGAAATTTGGGAATACCAAATCATCCCGAAATATCGAAAATATTTCGGGAATCCCGAAATTGGGAATACCGAAATTTCAGTTTGGTATTGGTCTTCAAATTCTCATCCCAAAAATTTTCGATTTGGAATTCGGGATCCCATTTTCGATTTCGGATCCCATACCAAACCACCCCTACCTTTCAATATGAGCATATGGAGGACTAAACTCAAACCGTACAAACTTCACTGAGAAAAATTCCATCTGATTGTATTTGTGGAGCCTACTTAAGCTTCTTTGAGTGTTCTTTAAATTTCTCCCACATCTAAAAGGAGGAAGAAAAGAAACATACATAACACAAAAGAGTAGGTTTTATAGCCAACTCGACTAAACTCGTATTTATTGTTGCTAAAGTAATGATACTATTATATCTAATTTGACTAAACTCATGTTTGTCTAGAATGGCAAGCAAGACTAATTTTTTTTCTTTCAAAACATCCGTGGTACAAGAGGCAAAAACTTGATAAAAATAAATATGTGATCTTTCTTTTTTTCTAGTTCATACATTATAAGGGATGGCCAACGGTTACGGCAGGGTAACCGTGGTTATTTATCCATAACCGTTTATGTTCATACCTGAATAGCTGTTTATACAATGGGTGTTTGCCTAAACGGTTATACACATACCCATAACCGTTTATAAACGGTTAATCATGTACATAACCGCATACCTATTTAACCGTAACCGTTTAGTACCCGTTTACCCATTTACCCTTTTTAACCCGCTTATCCTTTCCTTTTTACCACTTACCCCTTTTTCATCTGTCTATATGTTTTTTTTAACAAATTGAAAATTAAAAAAGAAAAATTTGTCATTTGACAATCGAGGAGTCTACGTGTATTTTCAACACAAATATAATATGTTCCACTTTACTGCAGAAAATCTCATCTGACTGTTATGTTGGTGTATGGATCTAATGAATCAGACCCATCTGCATCATATATTAATTGTCACCAAAATTTGAACAACTGAATTAAACAAAAATCTAAGAGAGAGAGAGAGAGAGAGAGAGAGATAGCTTGTTGCTTACATGATAATATGAAGGAGTTGATGAGAGAGAAGATGAAAAGCAAGAGCTGTTTCATCTTTTCTCCAAATTAAAAATTTCCAAATTGCACTACACTAGCATATATCCAGACACTTGTAGTGAGATGATATATTCTCAAACTGTGCTGAGTCTATATTATATTAGCTACAAAAACCATGCACTACAGTCAATAGCATTGATTTAAGTTTTGTTTGATAGAGAACATAATTTGTGTTAATTTTACATATATAAAATAAACGGGTAAACGGTTATCCGTTTATAACTGCAGCTAATACCCATAATCACCTATTTAAATTTCACAGATAAACGGTTATACCCATAACCGTTTATTTATTTAAACGGTTACTCATAACCGTAACCATGAAATTTGTATGGGCGGATAACTGCAGTTACCCATAAGCGATGGATATTTGCCCATCCCTAATTATAACTGCTGAAAAACGACCCATAATCTAAACCAGGGTGAATAATTTTTGATCCACCAATCCGGTACTACACTTATCACAATGATTGCTGAAAATTTCCCCATAGACTGAGTTACTGAGCTATGCAACAATGAATCAAAGGCTTATCATTTTGGACGGTCGGATGGTTTCTGATCTCTAAGCAATTCAACCACCCTTCTCATGGAGGGCCTGTTGATGGGGAATGCAGAGGTACAAAGAAGAGCCACCTTCAAAACCTTCTCAATCTTTTCGTAATCACGCGTCGACAGATCAATCCTTGGATCAATAATCTGGCAGAGATTGGCGCCGGAGAAACCGTTGTCATTGCTGCTTTCTTCTTCTCCTTCAGGAGTAGACATGGCAGCCTCTCTAACCCACTTGACAATGTCTGTGTTCTCACCAAAGGACGCGTCATTCGGACTCTTGCCGGTTATCAGTTCCAACAGCACCACACCGAAGCTGTAGACATCACTCTTCTCAGTGACTTTAAGAGTGTATGCGTACTCTGCAAGCCAAACACAATGTGATTTAGTATACATGTTCATATAATGTTCCTTTAAACCTAAACAATCAAATTACAATTAGTCCCAACATAAGTGATCATGAACTAAACGAAACAAACTAAAATACATCAACGGTTAACA